ATGCAACTCGCCGGAGGGGAACCGCTCTCCATGGAATACCTCACCTAGGATGCCCAGTAGCGTTCTTGTTCGGTCTGTGCAATGCTGCGGGGACCATTGGCCACCTCATGGCGCAGCGCATGCACCCGTCCCCTACGAACGATGAGTTCATGGGATGACCAAATATGTCGCCAAATCTTTCCACGACCTTCTCGTGGGAGATTTAGAGTCGCTCTCTGACTTTGACTCTAGCAGGGGAGCCATCATACCTCATGAGAATGTTTTATGGCAGGTACCCCTGAGGGAAGCATCGAAAGTGTCCATGAGGGAGGGCCTACCCCACCAAATGAACTCGACGATGAGGTCGGGGAAGATGCAGGGCCTATCCTAGCATGCGGGTGGAATAGCTAAGGCCGCGGCACCAGGAGCTCGAGGATGCATGACTCCAACTAGAGTAGGAGCGCATAGAGCTCGAGCGAGAGATCGAGCACTGTGAAGACGGTGGGTGTGCGCGCGCCATGGCCCGCGATGTGAATCGGAAGATCATCGAATACGATGGAGCCTCCCACACTTCACCCGGTCAGGCCAGAACATCGCTGTCGTGGCATCCTTGCTCCGAGGGCTCCTGGAGCCCATGACACCCGAGGATCATTGGGCCCATCACAAGATCTGCACGTTGCTCGAGCGCACGACGACGTAGCAGGCGGAGAGCTCGCTGTCTCGGTGACGTGAGCTCGATGCTAGTCAGCGTGCGCCCTCTAGATGACATGTCAGGGACATGTCTATCCACCAAGCACCACACGGCAGAGGGGGGCACACCATGACCCCGGTGTATGAGCATCTCGGCCTCCCCCATGACGCACATAACACCCTAGATGCCCGTAGGCATGGATGAAGCGACGAGAGAGAGGAAGCCCGCTATGGCTACCACCCTCGTCGTGGTGGACGCTACGACAGTGGTGAGGACTGGAGCCCAACCCCCAACCTACCAAGACCACAAGCCCTTAGCCGACACATCCTCAATGCCGCCTTCCTACCGTGGTACCGACCGCCGACCAACATCCCAAAATACTCTGGGGAAATGAACCACGGACTGTGGCTCGAGGATTACTGGCTTGCTTGCCAAGCCGATGGAGTGAATAGTGATAGTTTCATTATCTGCAACCTCCCATTGTTCTTGGCCGATTCGGCGTGAACATGGTTGCAGCACCTTCCGTCTAACCGGATTCAAAGTTGGGTGAACCTAAAGGACATTTTTGTGGAAAACTTCTAGGGCACCTACATGTGTCCTGGGAACCAATGGGATCTCAAAAACTACCGATAGAAGTCTAGGGAAACTCTTCATGAGTACATCCGGTGCTTCTCCTAGTAGTGTAATGAGCTGCCCGACATTGGCAATGCCGATGTTATTGGAGCCTTCCTGTCTAGGACCACCTATGAGTCCCTAGTTCACAAGCTGGGACGCAATGGCCCATGAACCACCAGGTAGCTCCTCGACATCGCCACTAGCCATGCCTTGGGCGAGGAGGTGGTCGGAGCGATTTTCAACTGTCCCAAGGTCAAGGCGAAGCGGGATGAGGACCCCAGTGAAGGCGCCTCCAACCGCCCCAACAAGAAGAATAAGCAGCGACGCGAGGGCTCGCTCATGGCCAAGTAAACTTCTACAAGCAAAGCCACACCAGGATCCTGTAGCGCTGCATCCCCATCGAACAAGGGAAGCAGTTGCTGAGAGATATCCACGGTGGGGTCTACGGGCACTATGCCGCACCTAGGACCCTGGTCAGAAATGCATTCTGAAAGGGCTTCTTCTGGCCAACCATAGTAGCTGATGCTGAAAAGATTGTGCGCACCTGCGAAGGGTGTCAATACTATGCTCGACAGACCCACCTATCGGCCCAAGCACTCCAAACAATCCCATCACGTGGCCGTTCGCGGTCTGAGGGCTCGATATGGTCGGACCTCTCAAGAGAGCGCCTGAGGGCTATACACACTTGCTTGTCGCATTAGACAAGTTTACAAAGTGGATAGAGGCTCGGCTGATCTCCATGATCAAGTTCGAGCAAGCCGTGTTGTTCTTCCTTGACATCATCCATCGCTTTGGAGTATCAAACTCCATTATCACGAACAATGGCATGCAGTTCAATGGGAAAAAGGTCCTTCGATTCTATGATGAATACCACATCCGCATTGAATGGGCTGCCATGGTGCACCCCCACATGAACGGGCTGTTCGAGCACGTGATCGACATGGTCCTATAAGGTCTCAAGCCTAGGATCTTCAACCGGTTGAACAAGTTTGGCGGATGATGGGTCACGGAGCTCCCCATGGTGCTCTAGACCCTAAGAATGACTCCTAGCCGAGCCGTCGGCTACACACCCTTGTTCATGGTCTACGGCTTCGACGCTATCCTCTCGACCCACCTCGACTATGGAGCGCCAAGGGTCAGGGTGTACAACGAGCAGGGAGCCGAGGCATCCCTCGAGGATGCCATGGATTAGCTCAACGAGGCGTGTGATGTGGCCCTCCTTCGCTCGGCTAAGTACCAACAGGCGTTGCACCGGTACCATAGCCGTCGGGTGTGGGGTTGGGCCTTCAATGTCGGGGACTTGGTACTCTACCTCATCTAGAGCAACAAAAACCATCACAAGCTCTCTCCGCCATGGGAGGGACCATATGTCATCGTAGAAGTGCTCTGACCCGGCACCTACAAGCTCAAGACCATCGATGGCAAGGTCTTCGTCAACACATGGAACACCGAGCAGCTACGTCGTTCTCACCCTTAGCATATGCGTGTACCCATGAAAACTAAGAACGGTGTTTCTAAAATACAAAAATGCTTTCTTTTTCGCTATCTCATCCTCGATCCTTAGTGACACCTGACCCCAGCAAGCATGGGGTCGGGCCTCACTTGGGGGTTGATAAGAGCATACCTATTTAGGATCAATCGTTGTGCCCGACCCCTCCTCATGTTAAGATCTAAAAGTGAGAGTTGTGGAAATGAACACTGAGTAAAGTTGGTCAGACTGCAAGGAACCTACGCCTCAGTGGCTATGGCGTTCTTGCTCACCAGCATGATCAAGGTTCTTTCGCCCACGCCTTAAGCTTTGTAGCCTTAACAACAGAAAAGGGTCAGAATGCAGTAACCTTTTTATAACACAAAAAGGAAAAAGTACCCAAAAGTTTGTTTGACTGAAACAAAAGAACTAAAACTTATTCATTTATTACAAGATCACCACTTCGTTTATCTAACTAACTAATTTTTTGGGTGGATGATCTCATCCTCTATCTTGGCAAATAAGTCTTGTGCCAGAGGCGCACCTCCTTCTCGATGTCCTCTAGCTTAGCGTCGGAATAGCCAGGCACGAAGCCTTGGCTCATCGTCGCATGTAAGGAAGGGATACGGGGCTAAAAACGCTCCCACGGCCCATTATGGCCCATGAGTTCGAAGGATGGCCCACTGATGGGTTCACAACCGCTCTAGGGCACCATTAGAGCGAGGGGTGGAAAAGGATGGGCCCACTAGTGGCCAGTACCCTGGCGCACGAGCGTCGCAGGCATCTCGGCCCACGTTCGAGTCTTTATCGGTTCACAGTCCATGAATTTTCCTCAAAGAAAGGCAGCGAGCCCTTGGGACCGATCGAATGGACCCAAGAATCTAGAGTCGGTCACCAGCTAACCCATGTCGGACCCCCCACGAACTAGAAGCCAGGGCCCCACTCGAACTAGCCCATTAATAGCTCACTGAGCACCATGATTCGTCCATCGAGGAAAACTTGGCATGGCTCAGCCCCCTCCATTTTATCATGGTGCTCGATCCCTCACAAACGCTTGAGGGAGGACGATCACAAGATGAGCTGACCCCTCGATCGGACCCCTACTACACACGGGGGCTCGAGGGAAGTTGGACTCGTAAGGAGACCGAATATGCGATCGCATGATGATGGCGGATCAATTGGATCCTATGGAGGGATCGGAATCAAGAGAAATCTTTTCTGGCACCCCGAATCCCGCAACTACATGTTCCCAAGGAGTCCAATCACGACAGAAGGGAACCGCAACCCTACCAAGACACCCCGTGGGCTACAAAGGGAGTCCGAGGGCGTATTCTACTCCTCCCGCCTGAAAAAAGCCTCTAAAGGAGTATTCTACTCCTCCGTAGGCTCGGGGGCTACTGTCGGGTATCGATATTAGGGATACCTAGAGGAAGGAAGTTAACGACCATGAACGTTAATTCACCCGGATGTTCCAAGACGTATTTAAGGTCTCGCCCGACCCCGAGGGCGCGGGCCCCGTCTCGGCCGCCCCCAAGGGCGTGGGCCTCGTCTCGCCAGACCCCTCGGACACGGGCTCCATCTCGCCCGACCCCGAGAGCGTGGGCTCCATCTCACTAGAAGCCTCGAGCATAGGTTCTGTCTTGCCCGATGGGGATCCATACCGCCTTCAACCACTACGGGTCTAAGAGTACGACCCCAAGGTCAAACTTCTGACACCGGGAGGGAAGCGGGCACGTCTCGACGTGACCCATAGCCACGACAGACCATACTCGGGGGCTCATGTCGCCAACAGTGTTAGGCGTGCCGGTGCTGTGTTGCCTAATCCCCATATGACTTCTAATAGGAGTACGGCCCTGTTTGGCATGACTCCAACTCTGGGTGGAGCTGCTCCACTCCATAACTCCAGATGGAGCCAGCTCTGGGTGGAGTTGGAACTATCTGATGGAGGTGTTTGTCTAGGAGGGTACCTTCAGCTCCAAAAAGACAACTTTTAGGATGAATTGCCATTGTTACCCCCAACTCATGTCCCCACAGGTCAGCCTCTCCACCCTATCTTCTTCTTCATCAGGACAAACGACGGTGAAGTCCTGGAGATTCCATCCCCATTAATCAGGACGAACGATGGCGAGGACAAGCAGCAAGCGCTGATAACAAACACGTAAGGCAAGGAGACAGTTGGAGGTTACCGAAGAAGTCGAGCAGGTTGTGGCCATCGGAGTATCGGCCGGAGGGGCGGCCGAAGAAGGTCTAGCCGGAGGGGAGGTTCCGCGTGGGGTCCGAGAAGTCGTCGAGCACGGAGAGTAGGAAGTTGCCGGTATCCGTGAGCGAGTCCCCGAAACTAAACACCCGGTCGAAGCAGACGCTCCCTCCTCCCGCTCCCACTACCACCGCTGGCGCCGCCAACACCACGAGCACCCCCACGAAGAGCAGAGCTGCCCGCGATGGAAATGCCATGGTGAAACGAGGGGCCATGCTGATCTGGAGCAGAGGGCGGGTTCTGCGGCAAGCAGCCGGGCGGGGCTAGGAGACCAGTGGCGGGCCTAGGGCGGCTGGGTGCGGGGCTCGGCTAGACGGCGGCCGCCGGTCTGCCTAGCGGCGGCGGAAACGACGCCGGTCCTAGAAGAGTCAGGACGGAGATCCCCCGCGGGAATGGGAAAATGGGATGTGCGGGAGACTCGGAGAATAGAAGCAAAACATTTTTTTATGTAACCAGTGGCATTGGTGGGTAATTACCCATCAACTCCACGAGGAGGTTCAAAAGAGAGGGTTATAGAGCAGCAAAAAAGAGGTGCTCCAAAACTCCACCTCCATTTGCACTACAGCTCCATGGAGTTGGCAGCTCCATAGAGTTTTGGAGTTGGGGTGTTTGGCTGGATTTTTTGATGGAGTTGCTGGAGTTTAGGAGTGGAGCCATGCCAAACAGGGCCTACCTATTGACCATGCTGCCCGATGGAACGGAGTGGAGCGCCATGACCGGCTGATGATGCCTGCGTATAGCGCCAGTGATGAACAGGGCAATGATGTGGAGCCATCCCCGTCATCATCTATAGGACCGGTGAGACTCGCATAAAGGAGAAGAATGACGTCGTGACCCTAGAGGCCTTCTTCTCCCTCGCTTTTCTTCCTTTCTCTCTCTTTCTCTATCTGTAACCTGCGCCTTCCCCTTCACTTAGAAAAGGGGAAGCAGGACGCCCCATGAAGGGGAGAGGCACGACCACACGGCTGAGCAGCTGAACAAAGTCTCAGCACTTTTCAAATCCTTCCACCAGAGACCTAGGATCCGCTCCCTCTCTCGCCCATCTATAACCCCTACCATAGATAGTGCCGGTAACACAAGCAACAACAGACTAGACGTAGGGACGTTCTGTCCGAACCAGTATAATCCTTGTGTCCTCCGAGCACACCATCCAGGGCAGACGCGTGAACTAGAAATTTACTAGCAGGTGATCCAAAACACCGACACATCTACTACGAAGCTAGACTAAGAGCCTTGAATAGATAGAAAACAAAGAAATTTGCCATCTACCTAGACTAGGCATAGCGCCCGAATACAACTCAAAGTCTAGGAGCCACCCAAAGAAAGCACTAGATAAATGATGAATCAAGCAAACATGTAGGCACTAGATAAATGATGAATCAAGCAAACATGTAGTGGTGAAAAGGAAATAAAAATGAAAAAGATATTTTTGAGTTGGTTCTCTCATACCTTGATTGATTGCACCATCACCCATAATTTGAGATGGAATTGGTGAGTGATGCACGTCTCTGTTCCGTCACATATGATAGTTTTGTTTCCTTTTAACAACAACCTTCTCTCCATCTACACATGGTTAGAATGTATACATATACCTACCTGTGAGATGGCTGGGTGGAGGTGCTGATTACTGATGAATGATCGGGCACCCTGGGCTCGTGATGATTCTTTTTTCTTCTTGTGGAAATATGCTGGAAGGTCGAACGACTGGTGTGGCCCTGTTTATTCCACATTCAACAGGACAAGGATAATCCCGCAAAAGCTAGTGGCAAACTAGGTTAGCAGATATCAAGGTCAACATCAAAATCTTTACGCCAATTGTTTTCCCATCAATAGCACCAGAAAGCTTATTGGTATTTGTTAATGCAAATAGAGAAATCTACAAGCGCATGAATACCATTGTAGCTTTCATCCAGGAGTATTCCAGGGTATCGTATTTATCCACGGGGATGCAATAGTTAAAGAAGTTGATAATTAACCATCATGTATCTACTAACTAGTATACTGACTAGACTAATGTGGGGGTAAGTGATAAAATATGAGTTTTGTATAATGACACACACAGGAGAACTCCATGTTAAGATAAAAGAGCAGTTAAGCTAAGCTGGGAGGACAACGGGAGATTAGAAGGTTCCTTTATACTCCTCTATTACTGTGGTTCTATTCGAGAGCAGACCAAAGGGATTAACTAAGTAGTGGATAAACCATAGCGATCACACTATAGCACTTTGGAGCAACAGTTCCTTTCCGATTCTCGAAAAGACTGGGAAGGAGTAATCGGGGTCAAGCTGCCAAAAGCTCTACGAAAACACCAACCCAAACGTGGTGGATTACAAAGGCTTGGTCGGAGCTGTCACCTCCGGGGCTACCACAACTATCCGTAGGGTTGGGCGCAAACTCAGGTAACCTATAGTTTAGACAACATGTCTATACTATCGATTACTACTCTAGTCTCAAGTGATAACTAGAGCACTCGGTCGAGCGGAGATCCCATGCCAAGATGGCACACGACTATATTTAACCACACTTAGCTAAACTACTAAGTTATGAACTAGATAACCATGAAAGAAATTCAAGTACTTAGATAAGATAAGTATAAAATACTTCAAAGGACTGATACAAGATTTACAGGACCTCCGAGGGCTCTTCCGGAACTTACACATCTCTTCCTAACTCATAACTGGAAAATAGAGTGGAGAGGCTCCTTGTGATGTGTCACAAGTAAGGGAGGTGCCTCTATTTATAGGTGGAAGGAAACTTGAGGAAGTGGAGATGCTGTAGGAATATTCCTAGATCCTACACTTAAATGCCGCCACCTGGAACACTTGCCGACTTTCCAACGTCGGTGCAGGGCACAAGTTGCGGGTGTTGAGTTTCTCCACCGACCTGATGAGCGCAGCACGTGACCAGTCCATCGGCGCTTGTGCCATATGCCTGCATGCGGCTGACGCTGGCCCCTGCTGGTCCTGTGCAGGTGCGGACGTCGGCTCCGGTTGCTGCAGCCAGCTGTGTCTCCTTGGTCCTGCATGCTCGCTTGCTGGGCTGAGCTGTGGCCGTGGGGCCCATTTGTCCCGTGTTGGTGATCTCGTCGTGAAATGCCGCCCGGCCACTTGAGCTCCTCAGCCTTCAACGATGCTGCATTGCTGCTGCCCCGGCCTGCTGGATGCGGGTGGCATGGGCAGCAGTGGGCCTAGCAGCCCTCTGCAGCTTTTTGTATTTGCCTGGAAGCCACGATGGTGCATGCTCGTGTGCGTCCAAATGCTTGCCGTACTGTAGCTGGGCCCATGGGCAGATTTAATTAACGTTGCCTCAATTTGTAAAATTAATATATCGTTGTTCCGAACTCAAATATAGTGAATAATATATCTGTTTCGATTGTCTCGTCGAGGACTACGCAATGGTATACTCCAAAACTTTGTTTGAGACTTTTTTCTAAAAATATAAAATTCGAATTTCTTTATGTCCAATCTTGATCAAGCTGTATGTGCACTATTTAATATATCCTTTTAACGCACATTTCGTGTACATCCCGTAAAACAACTCCAAGCACCAAAACTCATAGAAATTGTTAGATAAAGATCTATCTTACTCATATATATTTTTATTTATTGTCTTTTTACTATATTTTGGCGGACAAAATATTTGAGTTATCGACCACCAACAACATCTTCGCTTCGATTCCCGATCCCTGTCAAGAGTTTGGCTTTGTATAAGTTTTGTATCCTTTATTCTTATATTTACTATGACATTGTTCTATACGTTTATCATGTTCTTAGTTATTATGTTCATCGTCTACTTTGATTATATGCTTAGTTTAGTCAGAGTTATTATGATATTTATGCATATGTTCTTCGAGCACTCATCCTTAAGTTCGAACGGGGTGAGTGGTCGACATTGTGTAAGCGTGGTGCTTATACCGTGTTTACCTGCGAATGCACCATACATTCCGGATCGTGTGGTAGATCGCAGGGGTGACAACCCCGTTGAATCCTCTTTAATCCACCTCCCATCTGTAGGACTAGTAGGACGCGGTTGCGACGGAAGTAGTCAAGCTCTGTTCTTTAATCCACCTTATGCATAGATGGAAGATAACCTTTTGCTATATTAAGTATGTACTGCACATCAATGTATGCTTCGACTTGTAGCTATAGAATAACTTAGGAGTTAACCTCTCTTGTATCTACATAGTCTTGCTATTGCTATCTTATAGAGTACTCTGAGTGTTACATTTATCATTCATATATTATTATATCTCTTGGTTTACCCCTGTTTAGAGTAAGAGTATTGGCTTATTGATCCATCATAAGTACAAGTTATCAATACCAAGTTATAAGTTATTAATACCAGTTACCAGTTATCAATACTAGTTTACATTCAATACTCATTATCAATACCATTGATATCAATACATTAGCTAGACCTTCTCTGTGATAAAATATAAATAACAATACCTAGAATACTCTCGGGTAAAGTGCTACAATGGTATATCTATGCACTTGCAGATTTCATATATTTATATTATTTCTAAGTTACATTCGTACCATAAGCATTTATGGTGCCGTTGCTAGGAGTACACTTAAAACTCCATTCTTTGTAACGATGCTAAGAAATGTCAATAAGACAGCATGAGTCTTGGCGACGGCAACGCCGATATATAGGGACCGAACGTTGCCGCCGCCTCCGCTGACACCAACCCAGGGTGCGCCATTGGCCCCGCCTCCGCCAAACCACTAGAGGAAGCAGGGACTACAGCTGGGCCACCGATGACCTTCATGGCAATTGATGAGGTGGTGGAGGTGGGAAGTGGGGCATGGGCTTTTGCGCAATGTAAGGTGGAATGGGAATCAATTAGAATTGGAGCGAGGCCAGGCTTTATGTATACACAGTGACGCTAGGGCTTCTATGGCAAGAAACTCCATAAAAGATTTATTTATACGCAGGTACGCTAGGGCTTCTAAGGCAAGATACTCCGTGAAGATTTATTTTTCCCAGAGGTGGGTTCCATCGCGCTCCCTCGGGAATCGCAACCGTGTTACACTGGCGGCCGCAAAAACAGAGCACATCTCCTCCATTTATGCCGATGAGACAGCGTGAGTCTCGGCACAACGATATCAATTGTGCGACTGGCGGACTTTCTGGTGTGCGCAGTAAAATTTTGTAGTTTGTGATCGACTACACTCACTCGTCATTTCATCCAATA